GTGCATTTATTTGGTGATGTGGACTGAGTTTGCTGCAGTGTAGCATGCTGTTGTTTGAAACATTCATTGTTGTCTATTACATATTGTTTCACATAGTGTGATCTGATGTTTCTGATGATTTCTGCCGGGGCACAAAGACGGGAGGGTCAGATTTTGGCACTAATGACATGAATCTATTCATCCAAACTGCTTTGGGCCGACAGGTCAGGCTGCTGCTGGTGGATTAATGTTGTGAGGAATGTTTTCTGGACCCATGTGGGCCTGTTAACATCAATCAGTCATCACTTGAATGCCACAGACTAGAGCAGGGGTCACACCTGGCTCTGACAAAAATCATGTAGCTCGCCAGATCTGTATCATTTTCCTTTTTGGAAATGAACCAAACGAACCGAACACAAAGTCTGAACACACACTTAATTTAGTTTCAATCTGATTCTAGCTCTGTGTTTAATCTGACTCCAATTTAAAATTAATCTAAAATTTAGACTGAGATGTTTATCAGTTTAGTTCAGTTTCTAATTTGGATATTTAAATATTCTAATAATCTCTTACTCTTCAGTTATTTGTTTATTAGGGGCCCAATGTCACACAGAGTCTCACGATGGCTGGTCAGGATCTCATGGTCACAAACTCCCATTTCTGATCTTAGTCAGAGGATGAAGGGTTGACTAATACCTTTACGTTTGGGCACCCCATGCGTGCTCATACAAGAAGTGTAGTTTGCTTTGTCATGTTTGTACAACTTGTTCATGTTCATACAAGTCAGTGATAGACCGATATAATGAGGTCCCAGGACACGTGTCTTCTGCTCCATTCATTCATGACCTTCAGTTTGACCTACTGTATACCGGACACAGATTTGCTGCTCCAGACTCCATTTTAATCAACTGGAAATAATGATTTCAGAAGGAGACTAAATGAAATATAACATTTTATTTGTCACATACAGTATGTATCATGCCAATTACATAACTGAACAATACGAAGCCAATTCATAAATGATAAATGCATAGCATCAATTGCTCAAAGATGAATCTAAGAGTGAGAGATGCAAACCTGACAGCAGTCTACTGTGACAGCACAGCCAGGGCAGCAAGAAAGAGAGAGATTTCATTTGTTATTTATTTATTTATTTACATTCTTTGGAATTATTGCACTCATATCAACAAGTTATTATCACCCCATTATTATTCTAAATCTAAATTAGTTTTCCTTCATAGTGCTGCTCCTGCTAAGCACACTCAAAGAAAGCTGTAATGAATTATCCAGTATGTGTTAGTGTTTGCTCTGGAAAACGTGTTTTTGCAGTGTTGAGCAGAATAGCCAATCACAGACATATCCAGTGCTGAGTGCTGAGTTCTGCAAGCTCGAGAATCATCTTATTATAACAAAGTGTAGACATTATGTAAATAAAATATTAATTGTGCAGTGTAGAGAGCTTCATTGCTTATAATACAATTTTGTGGCTGATTTTAAAGGAGCACTTTTTGGCTATATACAGTATAATTTGGAATTTGTATGAAACCTTGACATAGTGATCAACCAAAGCAATGAACTGGACTAAAAAATATTAAATTAATCTTTAAGATCATGTTCAATTGTGAGTGTAAAATGGTGGCGGCACAACAGTGTTTTGCCTAAAGCGGCAGTTGAGCTTGTGCCAGTCCTGCATATAACAAATAAAAAACACAATATAAGATGCAAAAAAGGGACAATGTATGCCCTTCATAAGACAAGCAGTGTGGAGGATGATGATTCTGTCACCCTTACAAAAGTTTAAAAACAGTTGCTTGGAAAAAATAGAAGCCATTTTATAAAAGTAATTGTTTTCGAAACATCATTGAGAATTATCTACAGGCAAATGATAGAGAGTCACTTTGCATTGTCAGCACATGCTTCAGTGCTCTGAGAGTGTTTATAGTGCTGTGAGTTTAACACTTCATGACTGAGAGCAGAACACAACACAATCTTCATCATCACACAAGACACAACAACAACAATGAACAACATCATCATCCTCATCTGGACTCTGACTCTCTGCATTCAGGGTAAACATCTTATAATAAATCACAAACTATACTACAACATCTCATATAGTATGATATATTAGAATGATAATATTTGATCAAAATGTTCACTAAACATCAAAAATGTCTTATTTCAGGGATCTGGGGACAAATGACAGTGACTCAGAATCCAGAAATAAAATCCATCAAACGAGGAGAAACTGTTACGATCAGCTGTAAAACCAGTCAGACACTTACTAGCTGTGGTACCTGTGTGTCTTGGTATCTGCAGAAACCTGGAGAAGCTCCTAAACTCCTCATTTATTACATAAACACCCTCCAGTCAGGAACTCCATCTAGATTCAGTGGCAGTGGAACTAACAGTGATTTCACTCTGACCATCAGTGGAGTCCAGACTGAAGATACAGGAGATTATTACTGTCAGAGTGTACACCTGATCAGTAATAGCTGGGTGTCCACACAGTGATAAAGAGTCGTACAAAAACCTCCATCAGTCAGAGTCACAGTGACTGCACTGATACAGCTGAGAGACACTGCAGCTGCTCTACAACACAATCACACACAACACTGATCAACACAAACTCTAATAACACAATATCATTACTATTAATAGAAATATTGTACTTCTGAAGAGAATGAGTCATTGTTTTAATATGATCATCATATTTAGGTGTAATATATGATTCCTGTCAATCAAACTGAACAGATTCAGTCTCTTCTGCTGTCTGGACGTGATGCTTTCCATTCGACCCACAGAAAGATTTACAATCTATCTAATCTAAAAAAAATCTAGCTTTTGTGCGCAAGTACACTTTTAGGGTGAAATCTACTGAAAGTTTTATAAATGAGACCCCAGCTGAATACGGTTCATTTTTATCTACCTATTATCATATCAGACACTGCTGATTACAGAAGAAATAAATCCTTGGTGAAATATGCTTGTGTGGAGGATATTTCAACAGCGGCTTTTGAGTGATGCTTCATTCATGACTAAATGCATCAGTATAGAGTCCAAAAACAGTCTTATCAGTCAGTGAAATATCAACAAAAACGATGACTTTCTCACAAAAATGAAACAGAGGTCCCGGTGTGGGTTCCCGGCCTGTGTCCGTTCTCGCACCGTTCCATGCATTTCCACTGTAGAAAAGGCAGTTCCGGGCCAGAGCGGACTTCTCTTTCACTCTTGCGATCATTATAAAGCCGTTTTTTGTCTTAAGTGGACGTCAACAGATGAGAAAGAAAACTAAGCAGTGTTTCTAAATTTATGTCAATTTCTGTGCCTGAAATTTGTTCAGTTGTATTTTTTATGCTATTCCTAATTGATTTATTGTTCCTAATTTATTGCTGACTGTTTACTTGTCTTTAACAATTTAATGTTTGGAATTGATGTTAGTCTAGTTGTTTTTGCTGTGATAGTTTTTGTTAAAACCATAGGCAAAAGTTCCTCTTGTAGCCTTAAGTTTTATGTAGGCTGCTGCTTTTTGCTCATGTTATTCAGCTGCAACAGAACGCTTTGTAAAATGACAGAATAAATATGTTGGGCATCTAAATGTTTGACTTTTTTATTTTTATTTTAATCTTATTGGAACCGAAACTAGGAATCGATAAGAATCGGAATCGATATGCAGAATCAGAATCAGATTCGATAAAATTCAAACGATACCCAAACCTAGTCATTGTAAAATTATATATTCTATATTTGTTATTGTATATGCGTTTGTTAGCAGCTCAAGCTGTTGTAAATCCTGCCCACTTCTTTGCATCGTCAGCACATGCTTCAGTGCCATTTGTAAGCTCCTAGCGAGGTAACGTCATCTTGGCAAGGTTTGACTCTAAAAGTATACGACACCAGACAATGATTCTTTATAAATGAAACCGAATTTATTGGCTATTCTAGATTACATTAAAACTAAGCTAAAACACACACATACACAT